TACTTCCAAGTCTTTTCCATTTTTATTATTAATATAAACACCTCGTTTATAATATTCTCAAATTGTCGCGGGTCTGCGTCCAATATTCTTGACTATGTCGGCTATATCCTCGACATTCGCACGATGGTTAGCCACACTTTTTACGCTGCTCTTATTGCGATCGATTCAATCTCCTAAGATACCAACTGGTGTCGAGCACTTATGACCTATATTTCGTTACATCCAGTGGATTTCTCCGTTTCGTGAACATTTCGGCAAAAATAATCGTTAGGATAAAGCGCGAACATAAAATTTGAGCGTTATTAGCGAGCGTGACAGTATTTAAGAAACGTGTCATTAGAAACCTTCTCAACGATATTGGAAACATAAGCAAAAATATAGAACCTTAGAATCGCTTGATCTACGGCGAATAAAATTTACGACAAAGATTAGAAACCATGTAGAGAAAATTTTATATAAACACGACCTGTTCAGTAAATACAAAATCTAAATGTGGATCCTGTGTAGATAAAAACTCATATTTCCAAACGCGTAAAAGCAAGTTGAACAGCGTTTTCTTATCAACAACAGGAAGTTGATAATATAAATGTGGCATCAAAAAGCCCAGCTTTTAATTTTTTAGATTGTCGATTGTAAAATTTAAGTAAATACTATCTAGACGAGAGAATGCATGTTCAAGTAATAATAGAGAAATCGACGATAAAAAAGGGGTGTATCGATTCGGAGAACTAGCTTTTGTGTGGATTCCTGTATGTTTCGTCTTCCACATTTACCGCAGAAGAGTTATGTTTTTTATTTAGCAGCCGAAACATCGGCGCTTCTCATAATACGTCACAGATGTACCATCTTTGAAAATCCGTGCATTGAACAGTCTTACTAAACACTGCATGATCCAATGTTACTATACAACGAATGGTGCTTTAACTGTATGTGCAACATGATCCGTTTGGCTGACACTGACGTTGTGGGAATGTATCCTGTAAGGAAGTACGACATCGATTATATTGATGTGCTAGGCAGTCTTGCGCTAATTGCAGAGTGCCATATGCTGTATACTGTATTTCCGTGCAACAAGTATCCAATCTGTACAAATTGAGAAATTATTGCGACATGTCACAGATTTGACAGTGTATATAAGCAGTGTACAAAGCCTTTTTTATTCAATTGTAAATTTTAGATACGAGCGATAAGATATGGATCGAGTAAAAAAATATATACATCGAAAATCGGCGCAAGGAATATCGTCCCTTGTCGCCAGATCCACCAAGTCCGATCATCAAAAGAAAAAGTGAGATATTGGGAATTCTGACGGAAAAGCATTAAAGTCGTCACCAACGTCATCAATGTCATCAAAATATAAGCCATAAGATATTGCATTTAGGGTGACTAGTGCATTTTATTATCTGCTAAAAAGCAAATAGTGATTAAAAAGTTCTTTGTTCTCTTTTTTCCAGAAACCGCTGCTAGCGATATTTGAGCCACCGATCACATTCGAACGTTGCCGACCCCGAAAAAAAAAAATAAAATGAGAAAAATCAGTATAATAAGATGAATAAAAAACATTCGCACTATAAATATATAAATATGTGTATGTGTGTGTGTGTGTGTGTGTGTGTGTGTGTGTGTGTGTGTGTGTGTGTGTGTGTGCGTGCGTGCGTACCTTACTTTACTATGCATTTACTACCCGTTATATCCTTTGCCCCGACGAGAAAAAGAAAGAAAAAGAAAAAAAACAACATATTATGAAAACTAAGTCATAAAAAAAGGTAAAGGAAAAAAAAGGATATCGTACCCTATCGTCGCTCTCGTTCTTTTTCTAACATGCGAGCTCTTGTTACTTACGCATTTTTTTTGTAGTGTCTAGAGTTCTATAGACTACAAATGTTTATTTATAATCTTAAGTGTTTTATTTCTTCCATAAGTGTTTCCTGTGCAGCGAAAAAGTAAAACATATCCTAGGCACCATTACTGTGGCAAAAGATGTTTCTCGGCATCAGTCTTGTCTGCGTGCGCGACCAGTATATTACAACTTGAGTGTATGTAGAACGACGATTGGGTGTATGTAGAATCTGATCGGTTCGTTATTGAGACCTAATAATCTCAATCCCTCGCAACTCGCGATCTCGTGTAAAAAGTAGCTACAGTAGTGTCGTTACGCATGTCTTTAGCGTCGAGTCTTATCTGCGTGCGCAAGTACGAGGGTAAGTCAATAAGTTCTTAGAAAATCTGTCAGAGGGCACTCGCAGTGTCATGTCACATTACTTTTTGATAAATAGCATCTTTCAGCTGATTACTGTCAAATTTTGAGCGGAATTCATCGCGTGGTTCCATTTCTGTAGACAATTAAAGCTAACAACCTTTGTATTTTTTGCAAAATGGAAAAGAACGAGTTTCATGCAGTGATCAAACATCTACATATAAGAGGTTTAACACCGAAAGAAATCAAAGCCGAGATGCATAATGTTCATAGCACATCTGCATCAGCGTTTGCAACTGTATACAATTGGGTGAATGAATTTAAACGTGGTCGCACATTCACATGTGATGCACCTCATTCGGGACGTCCAATTGAGGCTGCTATACCAGAAATCATCGATAAAGTCCACGATATTGTTTTGACTGATTGACGAGTGAAAGTGCGCGAGCTTGTTGAGGTCATAGACATATCACATGGCACAATGATTTCAATTTTGCACGAACAATTGAGTATGAAAAAGCTATCGGCAAGATAGGTGCCGCGATAGATGTTGCTCATTGTGGACCATAAGCGTGTCCGTGTGACGATTTCAAAACAATGTTTGAAGATGTTTCAGCATAATCCAGATGAATTTTTGTGTCGATTCATTACTGTGGACGAAACATAGATCCATTACTTTACATCCGAGACGAAGGAACAGTCAAAACAATGGACTTCACCGAGTGAATCAGATCCGAAGAAGTCGAAGACCGTGAAATCAGCCGGAAAGATGATGGCCACAGTTTTTTGAGATGCACGCGGTATAATTCATATCGATTACCTTCCGGCGAAGCAAATGATCAATGGCGATTACTACGTAGCCTTATTGGACTATTTCAACAACATTTTAAAGAAAAAAACGTCCATTTGGCGAAGAAGAAAGTGCTCTCAAGACAATGCACGAATTCACACGTGCCCGGCACCAATAGCCAAATTCAACGAATTTCGCTACGAATTCCATCCTTCTCCATCCAGCCAGATTTATATTCGTTAGATTTAATCCCCTGCGACTATTTCCTGATTTCTGAAGAAATGGTTCGCAGGAAAGAGATTCACCATCAGAGAGCAGCTCATCGCCGAAACAGAGGCTTATTTTGAAGGGTTGGACAAATCATATTATTCGGACGGCTTAAAAAAGTTGGAGAATCGTTAAATCAAGTGTATCGAGCTGAAAGGAGACTATGTTGAGAAATAAAAATGAATCGATCAAAAAAAATGTATTTCACTATGTTTTTCTAAAAACTTATTGACTTGTCTTCGTATAACGAAACTTTGTATCGTACTTATGAAGAAGCGATGCATGTAGTATATTACGAGTGATTTTTTTAAATTTATAAACTGCAAAGAAATATTCCGCCATTTAGCGACTTACATGACAATTTGTGTGTGACTAAGAAAAAAAAAACTACTTCCGCGTAAAAAAATAAAATTGATTGATGGGGAGGAGAACGTCCTCGTCGAAGAAGACATCCACATGGACGTCCTAGGTGAGGAGGAGGACAAGGATTCTGTTATCATTTGGGTATATCATGAAATAGAAATGAAGCATGCCGACGATGATTGGGAGGAAGAAGAGAAGGAGGAAGAAGAAGATGTCGTGTATGTGGGCGTCGATCAGCCTATCATCTCAACAACGTTAATGCAGATAAATGTGTCGCATTCATGATGGAACTCCTTCACTTGCACAACAAGGTGGAACTTCTTCACATCCTCGCGGAGGCGGAGGAGGAAAAAAAAAGAGGAGGCTAAGGAGTAAGCAAAGCGAGGAGGAGGAGGAGGAAAAGAAAGAGGGGGAGGAGAAGAAAAACGAGGAGATTTATTTTAAATAGTTTGTTATAATTTTTTAAGCGCTCCTCTCACCTACGAGTACTTCCGCTTTCTCTCGCCTACGAGTATTTCTTTTACTCTACTTCCCTTCGCCTACGAATATCCCCCGCTCCGCTTTCCCTCGCCTACGAGTATCCTCGCGCTCCGAGCTCCCTTCATAGGACCTGGATTAGAATCTCCCTAATATACCTACTGAGAAACAAGTTCCACATAAAAGCAAATTCGAATGTTGACAAGAGTAGAACATCTACACTGCATTCACTTTTATCCTGTCCTTCGAACACTCGCGTTGTAAAAATAACAATATTGTTCCTATCAATCATTTGGGCATGTGTAGATCTAAGAATATCTTATGTATAATTGGACTATTCTTCACTAGGGAACGTATTCATTATATTAAATCACATATAAACAAGATTTCAGATAAACAGGAATCCTATTAACTTCATCTTCTCCTCTCTTCTATGACAAAACAAACTCTTATATCCGCATTATTTACTCAAGTTATAATGTAAGTAGGATATGAAAGACTGTTCTTTTGATAAGTCAAGAAAGTCCCTGTCCCTCCTTCCTCAATATATATTTGCCCCCCCTCTACAGCTTCTATATAAAGGGAGTTCTCCAGAGGAGCAACTCAGTATTAGTACGCTCCTTGCCCTGAAATGAACAGCAAAGTTCACAAAACATTGGCATTAGCAATGGATGAAAATACGGCAGTAACCTTCTAATATCTTTGAAAATTATACAACGAATTACTATAAATCTTAAAACTCAAATTAGAACCTATTTGTCCTTTTGCATAATCGGCATCAATTCAAACATAGTCGAACGACGGATCTCCTTGTTGAAGTTTAGACTAAGCAAAAGAATTTCTAATTACGTAGCCAATTGATTTAAACTTTTACCCATAGTTTATAAATAAATCTTATTTTTTCAGTACGTTTTATTGATGTCGGAGGCAACTCTTATCCTCGCCAGTGACAACATGCTGACCGCTTCTTTATCGCGTCGTGTCAACAAACATCTTCATTGGATTCTTCAAGCCATTGGGCTAATCTTGACTTTGGTCGGCGTAGGCGTGAAGTATAACGTCAAATCAGTACACTTCCTTTCAATTCATAGTATTACAGGCATCTCTTCATTGGTTATTATCTGCATAGTAACTCTTCTCGGATATCCGGTATGGATCGCATGGAAACTTCGTAAGTTCGTACGACCAATGATTATCAAATTTTTTCATAATTTTCTGGCCACTATCGGCTTTATCATCGGTATGATCTCGCAATGTTACGGTTATAAAAAAGCTTGGGTATATGAAGTAGAAATGAAGCACGCCGACGATATGCTACTTATACTCACAATATTGATCACAATATTATCTTTAAGGGGTGCGCTCAACTCTCTTTATAGACAAGCCACCACTTATCTAAAATTAATTTGCTCTTTCACCTAATATATGAGAATGTTGGCATGTAAAATTCTTTATCTATTTATAATTATAAGAAATTATCATGCTTTATTAATATTTTGTTATTTACATTTAGTTAAAATAATGTAAATAATTACTAAGATATTTAACATTATATTTGAAAACGGAAAGATAAAGAGCATACACCACGAACACAAGATATCATTAGAGAGTAGTTATATTTGATTACAAAAATTATAATCGAATTACAAATAATTAAATATTACATACATAATATTATGTAATATTTAATTATTTGTAATTTGATTATAATTTTTTGTAATCAAATATAACTACTCGCTAACGATGTCTTGCGTCCGTATGACCTTTATCTTTCCATTTTTTAATTTTAATCACTTATTAACATTTATAGTTTATTATATTTGAAATAAACATTTTTTTAAGCGAATTTTTAAAAATACTTATACAATCTATCAGTACTAATTATTAGGTATGGGAAAAAGTTCGTGGTGATTTTTTAGTAAAATTCAAGTGTTTTTCTTAGAGTATTAAAATCAATTTATTTAAACCAAATATGCTCCATTATTTTCAATAATATTTTGCCATTTTTGGAGCAGAGCCATAATCCTATCGCGATAGAACTTCTGTGGTTTCTGGTCGAAAAATTGCTTCAAGTGATTTTTACAGGTCTCTTTTGAAGACAACTTTACACTATTAAGAGAGTTCTGCAGAGATCTAAACAAATGATAGTCTGAAGATGCTATGTCAGGATTATACATTGCATACATTAAGACTTCCCAGCCAAGCTCTCGCAATTTTTGTCGAGTTATCAAAGATGTGTGTGGTCGAGCGTTGTCGTGATGGAAGACGACATCCCTCCTATTGATTAATTCTGACTGTTTCCTCTCAATTGCTTGTTGTAATTTCTCTAGTTGTTCACAGTAGAGTTCGGAATTAATTGTTTGATCGGTCGATAACAGCTCATAGTGAACGATTCCCTTCCAATTCCACCACAAACACAACCTTCTTCGTCGTCAATCCAGATTTTGCGATTACTTGTGCCTTCTCTCCTTCCTTTATCCACAATCTTTTGCGAGTTCGATTGTCGTACGTGATCCATTTTTCATCACCAATTATCATTCTCTTCAGAAATGGCTCAAATTCATTCTGTGTCAGTAGCGTATCGCAAATGTTAATTCAGTCCATCATATTCTTAACACTCAACTAGTGAGAAACCCAAACATCGAGCTTCTTTTTGTATCCAGCTTTGTGTAAATGATTTAAAACTGTTTTGTAGTCGTGCCTAGTTCCCTGACAATCTCCACAGTACTTATCACGCTCGACTTTTTTCATGATTTCATCGGATTTTTTAGTGATTGGTCGACCGGAGCGAGATTTATCTTTCACATCGAAATTTCCAGTACGAAAACAAGCGAACCATTTCCGTGTTATTGATTTTGATAGAGTATCTTCACCGTAAATAGCACAAATTTTTTCATAAGCCTGTGCAGCGTTCTTGCCTTTATCGTAGTAATACTGCAAAATGTAGCGATTTTTTTCCTTATTTATTTCCATTTTAAAAATAAAATAAATTTTGATTCACTTCACCGATTTCAATTTTTTTCGGCTCAAATCAAAGGTTGAAATGTCTTTTTTTAAATGCACATCTCAATCACGTTGTCGATGCGATTAGTAGTTACCGAGTGCTGAGCATTTAATGTCATCTAGTGGGAAAAACGCCACGAACTTTTTCCCACACTCAAGGAATTAAGCAGAATTAGATGGTAACTAGTTAATAAGCTAAATTATAAATAAAAAGTTAGAATTAATTACTTTTCACATAAGTATTTAATTTTAAACATTAATTCATCCTTTTTCTTTTTAGATTAAAGCACATTTATTTCCCTAATTAGCAATATCAATTTCTATAAATATTAAATTAGAGAATTAGTTTAGAAGTTAAAGGAGATTACTAATTAGTTAATTAATTAATTAAAGAAACTCTATCAATGTGTCAATGGGCGAGACGTAATGCCCGAAGATTAGATTGGGTCAGCATTCAGGGAACGCTATTAATGTCATGCTGTCCTTGTTTTAAATCTAGGATAAAGAAAGAAAAATTATCTATTTACAGCGACGCAAAGGGTTTGCTGGTTATCATCATGACATGATTCATTGCCATTGACATGATTCATAACCATTCGTGAATCTTACCGTTTACTTTTCAGGACGAGGAGCGCAATGATACCCATCTATTCCTTCGAAAAACTTTTGTTATATCCCTCATAGGAATAATAACGAGTATTTAAGCCAAAGGGTTGGAAATTCACAGAATCAATGTTTGTAAAAAAGTTTTAATTACACTCACAAATACTTTACAAAATGTCTTGTCTGTGATTCGCCTTACGGATAACAACTTTGAATAGATATACACTAGGCCAGTTCTGGATCAATTCGTATTAGTGCGTATAAGGCATATACGTATACGCGGTATGTGTGCGTGTGTGTGTGAGTATAGGTCCGAGGGTGGGGGAAGTACGTTGCTAGCGTTCGACGTTACTAGGTAAGGGGACCGAAGAAGAGGGAGTCGACGTCACTGAGCGAGGAGCCCTTGGAAGGGAGACAGGACCCACTATGTTATTCTCTCTTTCTTCCACTCATTATAAAGTACAGTTCTCTCCCTTCTCGTTGCGGCTCTATACTTACCCATGCTTTCTCTCTTCCTCCCGTTACAGTCCCATATCTACCACATTATTCGCGCGCTCTCTTTCTCCCGTTGTAGTCCTATACCTACCTACCGTCTCTTCCTCATGCTCTCTCGCTTCCTCTCGTTGTAGTCCCATATCTACCATATTATTCGCGCTCTCTTTTTCTCCCATTGAATTCTCTCCCTCGTTCTCGATTTTATTAAGATGAATATTCATTTAATGATTTTTAAATAATGTGATTTAACATTTAAACGTAATAACTTTGTTAATTGTAATGAGCGCCTTATCAACTATATAATATACGGAATATATTATTATAGTATATAAAGAAATAGTGTAGGGACAAAGGAATAAATATAATTTTTAAACACAGAATAATATTTATTAAAATTTATTTTTTAATATTCACATTTTTTATTCGTGTAATGTATTATAATCACACAATAATGTTTCTTTTTTGATAATGTTTCTGTGTTGTTTTAGTGTTGTTACGTGTTTATAAAAAGAACTGATGCAATTGTCACTATTCTTCGTTTTTTTCTGTCCGACAAAAAGTATTATATTAATATTTATAAATATAATATTTTAAGTACAATATTTTAAATGTAATAATGAAAATAAGATTCTTACCTCGGGCTCGTCGACTTCATATGGACGAAGTCCGAATAAGTAGTGGAGGTCAAATATGTCAAAAGATACCCAATTTAAGTTATCTTCTAGGTACTTCTCCTAGAGATTGTCAAGTACTTGCTTATCGAAAAATCTCGCTAACCGAACACTTCGTCGGTGATCTATGTTAATAAATCCTCGGATCTTTATATTTCGACACTGAATATCCTGATAAAAATAAATATATATATCATTAATAATAATAAAAAAATTACATTTATATAAAAAAGTGGTGTACATAAAAACGCAATTTTACTCATCAAAGACACTATTTGTATCCTTAATTAATTCATTTTTTAGATGTATCCGTTCGACAGGCTCATTATCAACCATTAGCATCTAAAAAAATCACACTGAAAAAATTATACTAAAAGAAAAAAATCACACTGAAAAAATCACACATATATCTAAGACTCATCCCCCGAACCGGATATTCGTATGTAATTTCTAATGTCTCTTGTAAGTTGCACATTTTTCACAATATATATAATTTCACAGTGCTACAGCGATAGAATCTTCTGACATACTGACACACTGACCGGCTGACTGCGAAGGATTGCATGAGAAAATGTAGGTATAGCAAAAAAATTATACATGACGTAACTTAGATTCATTGAAAGACCTGTTTTATTGAATTGACCCAAGATTTGCTTATCCATATTCGAAGAATTTTTAGTTGATTCAATCGAAATAGTTTGTTTCTGGATATCTGATATTTTTCGAAAAGAATTCTTAGCATTGCCTCTCGGTCAAAAGTATTGGGAGTACAAATTAGTTCGGTCCGTTTTTTTTGTGTTCAAAATTTCAAAATAAATGAATGAACAGATTAATTAAAGTATTGTCCATCGCTGGCTACTACTTTTTCCCATCTCTCAGGCAATTTTCGAATTCCATCTCGAAAAAATAACTCGTTTTTGGAGACGATCCAATTTTGGAGCCAATTTTCGATTTCTACGAAAGAGCGAACCGGTGCCAAATCCTTCGGAACAATCAATAATCAAAAGAAGCAATGTCCGAAGAATACGGCGGGTGCGATAAAACATCTCATTTGAGCATTTTCAAATATTTTTTTACGACTTTTGCGACATGAGGCCGAGCGGTCATAAAGAAAAATAACTTTATCATGTCTTTGCTCGTATTCCGGCCGTTTTTCTCGCAATGCACGGCTCAAACGAATCAATTGTAGCCGATACCGATCGCCCGTAATGGAATCGCCAGGTTTCAGCAGCTCATAGTAAACAACATCCTTTTGGTCCCAACAGATACAGAGCATGATCTTCGAACCATGAAGATTTGGCTTTAGTGTTGATGTTGAAGTCGCAACGATTAACCGGGCTTAGCGTAGTATTTTTTCTTCTTGGGGTTGTCATAGAATATCCACTTCTCATCTCCAGTCACAATCCGATGCAAAAAATCTTTTCTTTGTTATCTTTGAATCAGCTGTTCGCAAGTGAAAAATCGCCTTTCAACGTCTCTCGGTTTCAGTTCATAAGGCACCCAATTTTCTTGTTTTTATTATTCCCATGGCTCTCAATCGTGCAGAAACGGCTTGTTGAGTTACTCCCAATGATTCTGCAAGCTCCTCTTGCGTTTGACTTTGATCTTCTTCGAGTAATGCCTCTAATTCTTTGTCTTCGAATTTTTTTGGCTGTCCAGCGCGAGGCTTGTCTTCAACGCTGAAATCTCCATTCTTGAAACGTCGAAACCATTCCCTACATGATTTATCAGTTGGAGCAGTGTCACCATAAACTTCGACAAGCATTCGATGGGCTTCAGCTGCACTTTTCTTCCAATTAAAGTAGAAAATTAGAACTTCCCGCAAATGCTGCTTAACACAAAATTCGATATTTCAAACACAGTAAAAATCAAGGTTTTTGTATGAAACTCAAAGCGATATAAACTGAATATAACTTATTAGCATGTCTAACCTCTCTGAAAACGTTAAAATCAGCTGTCACTATGAACCATTCACAATAGCCGGAGCCATCTTTTGAAAAACAGACCAAACTAATTTGTACTCCTAATATATGAAAAAAGTACCACATCCGAAAAGCACGACGAAAAACATAAACATTTTTTTGCAAGATATTATTTACAGAAAAAAATAATTCCATATTAAAATTATATATCTCAGTCAAAAACTAATTTTTAATAGTATAAGATAAAAATGGGCGAAGCGTGACACGCGCTTTCTTAATCGCTTATTAATCGTACTACCGAATAGCTATTATATTATTAATTGATTGTTAATTACTGGGAAAGAAATTAAAATGTATTTAAAAAAAAACCATACTTTATTTTTTTCAAATTGATACAGTTCTTTTTGATGTTGTGATCACCAATTGTATATTTTAAATACATTCTGTAACACACAGTTCTTAGCATGTTTTCCACATCGCATAGTATTAGTAATATCTAAATTATTCAAAGATATATTCTATATTTTCGTAATCAACTTCCAAGGTTTCAATGGTTATGTCATCAGTGGTTATGTCATCAATGGTTATATCTATCGAGTATATCAGCCAATCACGTTTTTGACGTCCTTTAACATATATGAGAGCCTTATTGTCATTCGCACTGATTATAACCATTACAATCAGATCTTTCGCCATGTTGTACGGGATTATTCCATCTTCCTATTGCAATCCATGGTAAGCACTCAATCAGCACAAGACTTTTCGGATCTTGTCAAGATATTCCATGGCATGGGGCATGTAAAAATGTAATGAAAAAGAATGACTCCTTTTCTCAACACTGCTACTTCCTTCACAATAAATCTCCTTCCAACGACAAATCTTTGCAGATCCACAAATGATATGGCCATAGCGAACGATTTTTTGAGACTGTGCTCGATCAGGAAAAAATCTTGACTTTTATCCCTTATATCGAAAAGAGAAGGGAGAGTATTACTCTTTCGCAAAAACGATAATTTACGTAATCTTGCGTACTACGTTGGACATTGGGCTGTATTCGATCACGCGGTCGATGATGTAATAGGCGGTTGTATTCGCGGATATATTCTCTTTGAATTCAAATTCTAATCGTACATACACAATGTCACTCTTGACGGACTCATTTTGTCGCGAGCAGTCAATGGAATTAGAGTAAAATCTCTCAAAAAGTTTAATTGGAATGACGATTCATTTCTTTCATGAGGGATTTGATTAAGACATACGAAAACGTAATTATAAAAATAGCGACTCTGCGTTTGTCAAAGTCTAGATTTAGATCATCATACGGATAAAATTCAGAATTTAAATAAACATCCCATGATTAATTTACAAGTATCGAAGTAAGTTTTACGTGCTGACATGATATTTTTTTTATCAGTCTGTAAATCAAATATATTATAACTTATCGCGGTTTTTCCAACTGAGTCGCAGTCTTGATGGCCCAGGAATGCTTCGTTGTATTTGGCAATAGGGGGTGCTCGTATAATTGTCATTCCGGAAGAATCGTACGAAATACGTGACATACGAGGGTAGGTTGAAAAGTAATGCCTCCACCTCAACAAAATCCTCTAGAATGGATAAAAAATTACCAAAAAATTACAGTAGGTAGAAAAATCTTTATTTAAAAACATCCCATGATTATTTCTCGACATAGTCGCCATTGACATTAATACATTTATGTAACCGATGTATCCATTTGTCCATCCCGTCAACGAAAAATTGGGGCTCTTTATTCCGACACCAAGCATTCACAAATTCTTGAACTTCGTTGTCCGAGTCGAAATGATGTCCCTTAAGGTCATCTTTTAGTAGTGGAAATTAGTCAAAATTTAGTAGTGGAAAGTAGTCAAAATTTCCTTGCACATGTCAAGTCTCTTCTTCTTCATTTCGTCTGTGAGCATCCTTGGGACCCATCTCGCGCAAATCTTTCGATACTCGAGCTCATTACTGATAATATGATTCACTCTTTCTTTAGAAATACCCACGATACGAGCAATTTTATGCTGCGTAATCCTTCGGTTTTCATGAATCAAGTCGTCAATCTTTTGGACATTGCCCCCTGTCATCGCAGTTTTCGGACGACCAGACCTCGATAAATCAGAAATTTTAAGCGAACCACTATTAACTTTTTTCGCATTCACAACCCATCTTCGAACATTGCTAATCAATCGTTTCGTCACCGTAAATATTTTTTAAACGAGCATGAATCTCTTTAGGTTCGCACCTTTCTGCGACGAGGAACTCGATAACTGCGCATTGCTTTAACCTAACCTCCATACTGCTTTTCGTTTCCATGATAATAAAATATGAACGCGTGCTCGTACCAACACGGAACTTGACATACTGATTCTAGACAGATGTCACAACGAGATGCAACGAACTATACCGATTTCCCCCACCTCCTTTTTTTTTAAAGCATCGGAGGCATTACTTTTCAACCTACCCTCGTACATAGTACTTAAAATGTGCAATTTTACAATCTCATTCCAACAATACTGTAAGAGAGAAAACGCCTCGCAA